GGGTGCCTAAGAGATACTGGGCGCTTGAGAGGTGCTACTTGAGAGGCAATTTTGCTGATCGCGATGGAGGAGTGTTGTTTGGGGACAAGTACAGGTAGGCCTTGTTAAGTGTTGCGGCGCCTACGGTGCCGGATGGATGAGGCCCAATTGTTGACATTCAATCTGATGTAGTCCCGTAGGTTACTGACGACCTAAGTTTCAAAAGCATGCCTAGAGATGGCAAAAATAATGTTATTTCAACATCAAAAAATATATAACATGATTACCTAGAAAGAGAGGCAGGTTACTTGCGTGAGAACGAAGACAGGGTTTGAGGACCTAGTTTTTGTTGACCCTTGAGAGAGTTGCTAAATTGGAGGTAAAGACTATCTGCTTGAGAGCAAAGCAGAGGCCAAGCTTTTGGCGACCTGCAAGAGAGCCGCTCAACTGGAGATAGGCTGCTTGCTTGAGAGCAGAACAGAAATAAGCCAAGGTTTTTTTTTTTTGGCAACCCGCGAGAAAGCTGCTAAGCTGGAGATAGGCTATCTGTTTGAGAATAGTGCAGAGGCCAAGTTTTTTTGGCGACCCGCAAGAGAGCCGCTAAGCTGGAGATAGGCTGCTTGTTTGAGAACAGTGCAAAGGCCAAGCTTTTTTGGCGACCAGTGAGAAAGTCGCTAAGCTGGAGATAGGCTGCTTGTTTAAGAACAGTGCAAATGCCAAGCTTTTTGGCAACCCACGAGAGAGCCACTAAGCTGGAGATAGGCTACCTGTTTGAGAATAGTGCAGAGGCAGATCAAGCTTTTGGCAATCTACAAGATGATTCACCTCGCCTAGACCTGTTGATTTTCTTAGCATTCATATAATTTTGAACTTTTGCCAATAGTTCTGACATGCTCTTTGATGATCGCTTCATTACTAAAAAGAGGAAACTCAATGAGCGGAGGCCACCCAGAAAGGCGGTCATAGTGACTTTGTCATTGGGCTCCTCGATTTGGAGGACCTCATCATTAAAATGAGTGAGGTAACTCTTCAAGATCTTATCACGATCTTGTTTTATGCTGAACAGCTGTGTGGCAGGTTTCTGATGACGGCATCCACCAATGAACTGTGCCACAAAGGATTTGCTCAGTTCAGTGAAGGAACCTATAGAGGCTGGGGTGAGTTTGGTGAACCATTGTCGTGCTGATCCCTTCAAGGTAGTTGGGAATGCCCTACACGTAATTTCATTAGGGACATTATGCAATTGCATTAAGGTCTTAAAAGTTTCGAGGTGGGCCAGTGGATCCTTCGTACCGTCAAACGTTTCGACAGATGACATCTTGAATTTCTAAGGAAGTGGGTAGTTCGCCACATCAGGTTTGAAAGGTGTATCGATTTGACTTATGAAGTAGTCCACTATCTCGGGTCCTTGTACCTTCATGGCGTTGAAGGCGTCACCCAATTGATTTTGCACCTCCTTAATTTTTTCGTCCCAGTGATTGGGAGAAGGTCCTCTAGAATTATCACGGACATGGCTCTCATGCTCCATGCTTTGGTTTTCACCCTTATCTTCTTGAAAAAGAGGGTCTCCACCATGGGGAGCAGGAGTAGGGGCTGCAGGAGGAGGTCCCTCATGATAGGCCCCCCTTATGTGGGGTGCCTAGATGGGGAGCTCCAAGATGAGAGCTCCTTAATGACCTGGGAATGGAGCTCCCCTAGCTTAAGGTCCAGGTTGCACTCCTCCTTGTTGCCCGAGCATTAATTTCAGAATCTGCTGGTTCTGGACTATAAGCTGCTGCATTGTGTCCAGCATCTGCTGTGCATTTGCGACGGGATTGGCAGGTGGAGGAACAACCTCCTCCTCTCGTGGTGGAATGTCTTTAGGCTGACTCATGGATCCCGGCAGTGATCGCCTTTGATTCAAGAAAGAAAGTGTTTACGTGAGAATTTCGTCGTTCCCACAAATGGAACCAAACTAATGATGCACAAAATTGGTTTGCACACCACCTGTCAATTAAGTAATATAAAATGCAGTAAAGTAGAGAGAAAGAGAAGATAAGGTTTATAGTGGTTTGGTCAATATGACCTACGTCTACTTTGAATGGCAAGGGTCGTCGGTATTTTATTAACTCCGGTGTGTAAGAAGAGGAAAGAGTTACAAGCTTTGAAAGGGACAAAAGAGAATTATGCTCAAATGAGTGTGATGCCCTCCAAATGTTGGTGGGGCTTAAAATTTATAGTGGCTTAGTGTAGTAATTGAATAGCTAGTCTAGCGGTCATAACGGGTTGGGGCGGTTTAATAGTCATAATGGATTGGGGTTACTTTAATGGTAATTAAATAGCTTGGCGACCTCTCCTCTCCTCAACAGGCAAGAAAGTTATGATGCTCTCCAAAGGACTTGGTCAAAGGATGAGGGAAGGTTGAATCTCTCTGAGCGGCGAGGGTAAGGCTCCTAGATGCTCCCTTACTCTAAGGTGGCGAGAAGGCTCTTGGATGACCCTTGCTCCTCTACGGATATAACTCTTGGAACTTGATGAGCTTTACCAGGTGTAAACTCCTTTGGGCTTGACTAGTTGGACTTCTTAGTGTTGGGCTCTTAGGCTTGTAATATAAGTTGGGCCCTTGGGCTTGACCCATCAATATTGTTCCTATATTTCTAAGATATTATTTCCATAAATTAATGTTGGATTCTTCACGACTAGAACTTTCTCAAGTTATTTCAAAAATATACAGAGATTGTCCTGAGAATTCTAAGTCATATTCTCAGCACAATTGGCATTTCTTCTCTGTTAAGCAAAAAACGTTTGTTTTGGGTTCAATTTCTTTTTGGTTAAGTGGGTGATTATCAGTTTTGGATGGTAATAAAGCTCAAGAAGAATTATGTATTTCTTTATCACTTTTGACGAATAAGGATAATACAAGTGGCTCTCTTGGATCTATTTGCTTGCCCCACTACAAAGCCGTTAAAAAATTAACAATTGATAGGGTTCTACATGAGATTAATTTACTGGAGGTTGATTTTTTTGTTGAAAAAGATTGTAGGCGAGATGATTGAGAAGGACATGCATTCTGAGTGTGTAAGTTTGCTTACCCCCCCTTCTAATTTCTACAAAAGATGTGTATCCTGATTTATTTTATGTTTCCATCAAAGAGGTGATGAGGTTACTTCACTTGAACTGTCAACATTAGATGTTTTAATTAAAGCATGTGAACACGCAGAGCCGATGGACATTGAGGTCCTTTTGAATTGTCACTAACAGAAGTTGCAAATACTAATGGTTGCAGCAGGTGTGGAAGAATGTCATACTTCTGAGAAAATGTCAAGCTTATAAGTGCTCTCTGTTTCTGAAACAGAATCAAAAGAAAACCCAAGCAAGCACTGGAATCACTTGGTTGATAAAGAAGTGAAGGTAGTATCTCTGTGCGGTTGTAGGAAGGCTTTGACCTAACACTGGTCCCATTTATGCAGGATAAAATGGGTGCTCTGTGAGTTTAACAAGGTCCAGGCACAACCTCTTTTTAATTGCATTGACTGTTTGCCCTTAGTTTTAGACCTATATTCTCTAAAAATAGGTTTGACATCTTAGCTCTTACCCATCCTCCAAGCAGTTGCTCCTCTTATTTAGTTTAACCGAGTCTATTACTAGTTCACAGAGACTTATTGAATCCCATATCAGTAATTTGTTAAGGTACATGACTGTGAGTTTAGTATTTAACTACTGAATTATTACCTTAATGTGTATCACCCACTCATTATTGTCCATCTCGCTGCCAAGTCAGTTGAACATGATTGACATAAAAGAAATGAATTAATATTCAATCAACCTTTCACCTTTACGGTTTATTAGATTTTTATATGATCCCTACACTGTCTACCTGCCTATATTAGCATATCCTGTTGGTGAAATGATTAATTGGTTGCATTTCATTTCTGCATACTCCAATTAGTGTAGTCATGAGTGATTGATAATCAATGGCTTCCACAGTTAAGCCTGTAGCACCAAAACGTATATGTTTTCAGTTCCATCAGCAACCTTTTCAATTGGATTTATCAGCACTCCTATGATGAGCTTGAACTTGACATTAGTCTTTGATTTAAAACATAAAAAAATTTATTTTAGCAAAGATATTACTTTTGTCTTAAACTTCACCTATCCTTTGGGATACTTGTTTTCCTCACTTTTTTTTGGTCTTGTTTGTTCCATGTGGGGATACATAAATTGAATTTTTATGCTATTAACCTGAAATTGTGTGCCCATCTTGTTATTATCAATGTTATGACTTGCCATCAGGGGGTTTATATAGCTTTTGGCAGGTGGTTCCTAAAGGCAAGTCTTTGTTTAACCCAACCAGCAACCAGTTTTGGTTTAAAATAGTTGATATTACCCAGACTATATGCTTCTCAATCAAGGTTTTAATCAGTGGAGGAGATATATTGATATAAATTCCTGACATCTTTGGCGATATTCAGTCTTTACTACTAGCACACATGTGCAATATTGCAAGCATGTACTTCTCTAAGTTGACTTATGGCCTTGGTAGTTTAGATCAAAATGATCTAAGTCAAAGGTGTTGCTTCATAGATGCAACTATTGCGTTATGCAAACTTCAACACTTGAACCTCGCTATCCCTGTCAAAACTCAAGTAGGTTTACTTCTGACGATAATGAAAGTTCACATTTCAGTATGTCTATGCAATGAATTATTTCTTTCTCATTAGAGACACATAATCTTCTCTGACTATTATCTCAGTTTGAATTGATCGTGTGTATCCATGACATGCTTGCTGAGTATGGCCTCTGCTGTTCGGGTGGATCTGGTGAAGAGGAGGGAGGAACATTTCTTTAATTTGCAATAAAGCACCTATTGGCCTTGGATATGAAACTTAAATCTAATTTCCATTCTTTAAATAGGGGACTGGAAATGACTCGAAGGGACAAGCAGCCTTCACATGATAATCATGTCAAATGGTCAGAGCAGCTTTTTCGATGATAGTAATGTTGAAAGATCTTTGGTTGAATAAAAAATGAATTTAGTGAATATGGAAGAGGATCAGACTGATATAGATGAAGCCATCACTGTGGAGGAGGACGCTGTTGAAAGGACGAGCTCAATGGGCGTATCACCTCATAAAGATTTAGAGAAAAAGAAAACAAAAGTAGAATGTGGCAAACATATTTGTGATGGGTCCGGCGCCACGTTCCATAGAGTAGAAGAAGCAAGCATTCAGTTTGTTGAATGTGGCAATGAACTAACTAAAGATGAAAGGAAGGAGCTTAAGCTAGGAATTGATAATGCTTTGGATAAGTGCTTTTTCTATTTATATGGTTTGAAACTTAGATCTGATTCATCTGGTGAAGATGATCTAGCCATGCACAAAAATACAAGCAACGGAGATTATCAGACGAAGGAACAATGTGTTGATGTTTTTCAGTATATACTGCACTATGCAAAGGCATTCTCTGTGAGTAGATTCCCCCTCCCCCTCCTCCATTTCAGTTATCAGGGTTCACCTTTTGTATAACATTCATACGTCTTTTTAGAAGGTTTTATATGGTGATAGTGCCTTTTCAGATGTCTATTTTACTGGATAACGTTTATAAATTTTTCAGAGAACTGGATTAGTGAAACTTTGGAGAGTATTAAGAGCTATATGCAAACATTTTCCACAACCACCTATCAATGTTTTGGCTAGAAATGTGATAAATAGATTTTTAGATGATCCTAATTTGTGTGAAGATAGACTCTCAGAGGAGGCCAGATCTAATGGGTTTCTTGATGCCATTACAAAGATACTATTTTCTGATGTCGGAAGCCTCAAACAACAGAAGGCATTATCTGTAGGGAGGTATTATCTTCTGATTACACTGTTTCTTCCATTACATGCTTTAGTCCATAGACTTTATAATCACTTTGGTATTAACAGCTGACTGTGTTATCAACTAACTGCAGTTCTGAGCCATATCTAGAGGTTTATTGCAACTTGTATTATCTCCTTGCTTTGTCTGAAGAAATGAGTGCAACTGATAAATGGGCTGGCTTTGTAATCACCAAGGAAGGGGAAGAATTTGTGGAGCAAAATGTGAATCTCTTTAAATATGATTTACTATTCAATCCTCTACGCTTTGAGAGTTGGCAACGGCTTGCGAATATTTATGATGAGGTAGGGTTTTTGGTTATTTTGTTTTGGCATCTGTAAATGATGTAGAAATGCACTAGAGAAATGAACAAAAGAAACTTTGAAGGGATGGAGTAAATTTTGGCACAGATTCAAAAATCTGAACCTTTAGTATAGATTTGCTGAAGAAATTCTTTGGTTTTATGCATGCAAGAGGTGGACTTAATGCTAAATGATGGCAGTAAGCAAATAGATGTATTAGGATGGAGGAAAAATGCCACTTTACCTCAGAGAGTTGAGGCAAGTCAAAAAAGGAGCAGGCGGTGCTTGTTGATGACTTTGGCTTTAGCCAACACAGTGGTCCAACAGGATTCATTACTTAGTTGTGTAGGTTTAAAAACACTATGGTTGTTAGATATCTACATCTTACTAAAGATTTTGCTACATCATGTAGCTTATGGTGATTGCTGATCTTGGATCATCATCATCTGTTATTATTGAATTTGGATGGTCATTATCTTATATGTATCCCATTAAATTGTTAAAATGTTTCACTTTTGATGATAGTATACTAGTAATTTTCCAGATTTGACCCATCTTGTAGTAGATTCTGCACCAACATATAACTTCCATGTCTCAGCCCAATAGGCCAGCAGGTGGAACGACGAGATGGCCCATTGAAGTTGCTTGAGAAGCCATGAATTTATGTTGGAGGACTAGATGCCAGTGGTTTTCTTGTTGATTTTGAATTCTACTATTTGCTATATGATATGTGTTGTCAGCCATTGTGACAAATTCTGTGTGGTTGCAGGCTGAGATACATGAGTTATTGGCATTGGTGTACTATGATGGTCTTCAGAATGTGGTGCCATTTTATGATCAAAGATATGTGGTACCTGCAAAGGATACAACATGGATAATGATCTGCCAGAATTCAATGAGACATTTCAAGAAGGATTTTGAATATAAGTATATTTGCTTTTTGCACTTATTATCCTTATTATTTCTTGACTTCACATATAAAAACTAGACCAACTATTATGAAAATCTATATTCACAGGGAAGATTGGTCTCATGCATTTTATCTGGAAAAACTCTCTAAGAAGCTCGGATACTCGCATGATATATCATTCTCATATTATGATAAGGCTATTGCTTTGGATCCATTAGTTGTAGATCCTTTCTACATGATGCATGCTTCATGCTGGAAGTTGGTCTATATGGTTGGGAAACAAAATGAAAAAGCTTTAAAGGTTTTTTTCTTTGTGAAACTTACTGTATGTTTTTATTACTATTTCTGTCTCTTTGTTCTTTCCTTGTCTTTAATGTTATTTCCATCAAAGACTTTTTACTTCCAGTGCTTTTATATGCATAATACATTTGTATGTAGATGTTGATGCAGAAGCATGCAAAACCATAGATTCACACACACAAAAACAGAGTAGGAGGATATATTTTGACTTCTTCATTGCAAATATTTTTGGAATATAATCTTTTGGACTTGCATAGGTTTAAGATATTGCATGCATATTTACTAATTATTGTTATTTGTTGCTGGATTTCTTCAGGTTGTTGCAGCATATTCCTTTACTCAATCTACAAAGGATACTGTCATGAATATGTTTGATGGAATGGACCCTGAAACTTCACAGTCACCAGTGGATGTTGAGGGAAGTATTGATGCCAATTCTGACTATAAGTTGGAAGAGGTGTGGCATACGCTTTACAATGATTGCCTTTCGGCCCTTAAAATTTGTGTTGAAGGAACCTCAAATATTTTCATAAAGACAGATATATGCTTGCTCAAGCATAAAATAGGGGAGGTGAGAGTGGGGATCTCGAGGAGGAGCTTTCCTTTTGCTTTAATTCATCTCGCTCTTCCTTTACTATAAATATGTGGGAGATTGATGGTATGGTCAAAAAAGGAAGCTATGTTTGGACATGACCAAACAAACCGCGTTCTCTTGTTCCTTTCTTTTTTTACTANAGGAAGCTATGTTTGGACATGACCAAACAAACCGCGTTTTCTTGTTCCTTTCTTTTTTTACTACTTTGCTGGCATTATAGAAAATGAAAATGTGAAGTAATAATATGTTTTAACACCACAAAGCCATGAATTACTTTATCCAGTTCTAGGAGAGTAATTGCGGAAAAAAAAGTGAAGTTGTTATTACTGGAAAGATTATCGTCACAAGATGCTGTATTGTTATTACATAATTTTTTGAACGTTGGTGCCGGCTAAATAACCTTTGATACCTATAATTGTAAATAATTCTAAGGTTGGATGGGAGACCCATTCACTTGTCACACTCCACTCTCTCTATTGTGTATATGACTAGCTGAGAAGAAGAGGGAGAGGTGGGTCTTGTTCACTCCTTTTTTCTTCTTTTAAAACCTCAGCTTCTTTTCCCCTCTGCTTTTTTCTTCCACTTTTTCTCTCCTCTGTTTTTCAACAATCGCATTTTCTCAATTTTTTTGGATTTTTTTTCCTTCTTGAATATGTTCTCCTTTTGTCATTTTACTTTTGTTTTTGTTGGAGATGTTTAGATTGGAACACGAAATTCCTCTTGAACCTTAAGAAATCACAAGAGCCTAGAAATTTGTGAATTCGAATCTGTGTCTATAAATCGGAAAAGAACCTACCCCATCTGCCGAAATTACACCGTAGTTTCCATTTATCAAATGATTACATGATCAAAGACCCATTCAAAATGGGAATTTGCAAGATACTTTTTTGGCACCCAGGGTTGCGAACATACCTGCTTTGTTGAGTGGTTGGAGAGGGAAAAAAAATGAAGAGGATAGAAGAGGTATTTGGGGCTAGGGTTAGGGTTTTGGGTGCTTTGATACTATGTTGAGATTCTAGAGAGAGACAAAAGAGAAAGATAGAAGTAAAAGAGTGACTGCTTACCCTAGGATTGGGAGACTTGCCCATATTAATGAACAAAAAGGTACAAAAATTCTCAGCCTAATGATAACTCTAATAAATCTAATAAGGTGTATACTACAAGAGGGTAAAATGGAATTTGTCCTCCTTTTTATATATATTTTTTTGAGTGTTGGTGGTTACCTTATGTGTTGTTAAAAAAACTATCAACTCATTTTTATTTCTATCTCAGGCGAAAAACAATTGGTCTTTCTGGGAACATGAAGGTGCTGGAAGTTAACCTACCNGGTGGTTACCTTATGTGTTGTAATAAAACTATCAACTCATTTTTATTTCTGTCTCAGGCGGAAAACAATTGGTCTTTCTGGGAACATGAAGGTGCTGGAAGTTAACCTACCAGAAAGTTCTCGAAAATTTATTACTTGCATTAGGAAGTACATGTTGTTCTACTTGAAATTGATGGAGGAGACGGTAGACATCTCTACTCTGGACCGTGCTTACATATCTATTTGGGCAGATAAGAGGGTATGAACATGTCAATACTTTTAGCATTTTCTTAATCTAGTGTATGTTGCAAAAAATAGCATGGGCAATATATTAAGAACCTATCATATTTCGGAAATGTAGCTTGGATTGATTCTAGTTGAAACGAATTCTATGATTAGGTGATTACTTGAATTAAGAAGACTGAAGTTCTTGAGTACATTGATTTCTATGAAAACCTTCTCCTAGAATGAACTTTTATCTCATTTGACTTCTTTTCAAATGAGATCTGGTGGTTGATCCTATACTTGCCATTGATCATTTTTTTAGAGGATATTATTGCACATCTTAGTCAATGTTGTGTTTCCTGGAAAATAATTTCCATGGACGTTGTGGAGCTTTCATGTTTGATACTTTTCGCAAAGAAATAGATCTTCACTATATTATCTTGATTAATTTTAGCTTATGCAATGTTAGTATTTTCGTAGGAAGCCATCATCCCTGTTCTAATTTACATGCCATTTCCAGCTTGGTGGTACATGAGTAGATAACTAATCTTGTTTTGTTGATCATCAAGTTAATTTGTAGCTAACTTGTTATAGATCCAATTATCCTTGTGCCTGGAAGATCTTGATCCAGTAGCACTTGGTAGGTACATCAAGGCTCTAACTTCATCCATGCGTCGAACTGACAATGGCTCTGGTGCTGCGGGCGACTCTCTTGATCATCTTTTGGAGAAGATGTTCTCTTTGTTCTTGGAACAGGTGACCTTATGGTCCGATATGTGCAATTTGCCTAAGATCAAGGGCCCAGAGTTGGTGGAAAGCAACTTACATGGGTAGGTCATTAAAGAAAATAACAATCACAAATTAAAAATGTTCAGAATGCTAATTCCTCATGCAACCATCCATCACTTACCAGCCATTTCTTTTGATCACTCACCCCTGCTCTTGAATACATCTAGAAATCCTAAATTTTTTTATAAACCTTTCAAATTCAAGAAGATGTGGATAAGGGACCCTAGCAGCCATCATGTGGTTAAAAGCTCATGGAAAACTAATAGGAGAGGATCAGTTGCATCAAAATTCTCTAAGCATTTGATAATCAATGATCGGCCATTAAATCGCTCTTTTACTCTTAAAATATCACTTTTTCAAATGTACCTACAAAACCATCAATTTAAGATAGAGCAACGAATCTTAAAACTTTTGATTTCTCAATGCTCCAACAATAACATCAGAAAATTCCAAGTTTCCATATTTATTCATAAGTGTGACTTTCTTCACTAGCACCTAATCAAAAACTATACTGTGCCAACTTGATATTAATCAAGACTATGACTTCACTAATGATTGATACAATAAAAACTCATGAACAAATCAAACTTTTCATCCACATACTCAAATTCATCCACTAATCATATGGAAATAATCCATATTGTTACCTTTTTACTTCACAACTATCAAATTTTCTATAAATGCCTAACTATAAGATAGTTCAATCTCAATAAGTCTTCCTGAAGTGAAACTCCTTGTGACATCTTACTACCACTCGTCTTCAAGAATCAAAAACAAATCTAAAAAGTTATCTTCTTAGAGTATAAACCCAACCTTACTCAAATATGTAAATGAAGAGAATTAACCAAACTCCTCAACTAAGTCAAACATCACATCCTTAAGTTATACCGACAAGTCTCCATGAATAACACTAATTTAGATACCTCTAGGCTTGATTCTTCTTTATATCAATCAAATAGGATTTTTCTCTTCACATCTATCTTGATAGTAAATGTTATCTAAAAGAAAATTCTATATTTCACCTTGCTATCTGTAAACCCCACACTTTTATCTTTATATAGGTATGTAGGTTTATATAGCAAGTTATTAATTCTTTTGAAATATTAATATGAAAAAATTCAGGAAATAGTAGTTAAAACTTAATTTAGCTTGCAAATATATGAAATCGTGGTAATAAAACTTATACAACTAGGTTTGATGTTCAAAAGCATGTTGAATAAGCTTGGGTTGGAATTGGAAAGGTTTGGAAATGAAAAAAGGAGGTTTTGTAGAAAAATAGACAAAACCTTCTGGAAGGTCGATGAAAAACCTTCCAGAAGGTTAAGGTAAAAGATTTAACCAGTAGGCAAAATCTTCCGGAAGGTCTCTGGAAAAGTTGGCCTAATAGGCAAAACCTTTCGTAAGGTCGAAGACAAACCTTCCGGAAGGTTAAGGAAGATGATTGTCCAGTAGACAAAACCTTCCGGAAGGTCGATAACAACCTTCCAGAAGGTCAATAAAAATGGTTTGTCAAATAGGCAAACCTTCCGGAAGGTCAACAAAAAACCTTCCAGAAGGTCTTCAAAAAATCTAAAAATTTTAAGTCGCGAATAGCCGACTTTTCTTTCACTATAAATACTTAAGGACAACCCCTTTGGCCCCATTTCAACACTCAAAACCCTAGGACACCTTAGAGAGGAGTAAAGGAAGAGAAAAACACAAGATCAAAGGGGTTTCAACTTCAAGAAGATCAAAACCTAGTCCTTTGAAGAACATCAAGGTAGGAGGTTTTCTTTCATTCTTGTCCATTGATGCTAGGGCTAATATATATGTATTCTTTGACTCTAAATCTTATATATTTCCTATGAAATCATCTTTTCTTGGTTTTCTTGCAATTATTACCATGTCTTACATAAGTTAGGGTTGAATACCCATGAAATCTCATTTTCTTGATATAAAACCCTAGTTTTCAAAAGATATGGACTTTCTTCTTGACTCTTCCTTTGTTCTTGACTTAGAAAACTTTAGGGCTTTGAGTTGAGTACTAAAATAATATTGATGATGATCTCTTGTATTTTCTTCACGTGTTCTATTTAAATATTACATGTGAAATTTGGGATTTATGTAATTGTGTGTTATTTGAGGAAATTATTGGTATTGTATCTCTTGTGTGGTTGTTGGATAAACATGGGCTACTATTGGTATCTTGGAGTGTGTAGACGTCTTCTTACTCCATGTGGGTTTGAACTTTTTCTACCACTCGTAATGGGGTTAGTGCCTTGCGAGGACTAAACCATTATCGCTTACGGGTTACCGTGGAAAAAAGGGTTAGTATACTACTCTTTGGTTGGATACGTCATTGCCATGGTGTTGGCATACGCCTTTCCTAAAGGTTAGATATCCTTGCGATGATTTATGTGGATTGTACGTGAGCCATGATATATTTGATGGTATCCATGCGAGGTCTTACTTTATACCAGAGATACGAATACAGTGGTGGGTTGTTGTTCATTGTACCAGAAATAGTTTTTACAAGAATTTTGGGAAGTATGAAATTCTGCAAGAATTTGGGAGAAACGGTTTATGGTGGAATGGATTATTAGTTGTATATTGGTTTCACTTATGCATTAAATCATTACTGTTGCTTAAACTTGAGACCTATTTAAATGTCCCAATTTGTTTTCAAAATTCATATATGCTATTTGTGAAAGGTAACTGACCATTTTTAGTTGCTTTTCTAAACCTTGTTCGAGTTTAGGAGGAATGTTGCTACAGAGCTTAGTGTTCACCCCCCTACAAACTACATTTTTCAGATTATGTACTGGAGGAGAATTTGGGAATTGAGGAACCGGCACACTTGGAGATTCCCGTAGACGGGCATGTTGATCCCGAGGTGGACGCTTAGAACAACACTTTCTTTTATTCTAGACTAGGAAATTTACTTTGGAAATATTATGAAGTCTAAACTCTTTTGTAATTTCGCTGGGAGTTTATGTTTAATTCTTTTGGGATGTAATTATCTTACTTGGGATCATATTCTTTTGGGGATATATTCGTCATATTTTGGCGTATTCTTTTGGGAACGAGATTGTAAAGATTACCTTTGATGTATGAAACTTCTTTATGGATGAATTATTTAGTTGCTCTCATGATATAAATGGTTTTTAGTTTGTAATGCCGTTCAGGGTGGGTTTTGGGGTGTTACAAATTTTTGGTATCAGAGCTTAGGCTTTAGGTTTTACATGGGAACTGTAAGTTATGTATTACCACTAGAGGGTTAGGACTAAGTTTAGTGAAATCATTGATATAAATTCTACACACGTCTAACGCTTTAGATTAAAAGTATAGTTAGGATGTCTTGTACATCAATGAAACTAAATTGTGAATTGATGTGCAGGATAGACGGTAGGCATGGACATGGACGAGGTCGTGGTGACCAAGCAAACCCACCACCACCACCTCCCGATGCCATGAACGACATCTACCAATGCTTAAGGGAGCTCGCTGGTACAAAACCAGAATGGAAACAACAACAACCACAACAGCCACAATGGGGGAGCTCATCCACTAGCCCATGTACCAAGCAACAAGGATGAGAATCAGAGAATGGTCATTCTTCGAGAGTTTCTAAGACAACGCCCACCCACTTTCCAAGGAAGCTCCAGTCCCTTGGATGCAGATAGATGGATCTGTCGAGTGAAGAAGATTTGTGACGGCATAGGTGTGGGCGATGACCTTAGGGTCGGCTTGGCGACATATCTATTGGAGGGAGATGCCGACCATTGGTGGGATTTCGTAAAGAGAAAGAGGAACACCGATGCACTCATATGGGAGGAGTTCGACCAAATCTTGCAAGACAAGTATTTTCTGGAATCAGTTAGAGACAGAATGAAGGCAAATTGTCTTGCTCTACGACAGGGCAACATGACGGTGGCCGAGTACGAGAGGAGATTTGACGAGCTATCCCGTTATGCTACGGAGTTGATATCTACTAAGGCCAGTAAGGTCAAGTGCTTTGAATAGGGATTAAGGCATGTTATTTGGGAGAAGTTGGTGGCCCTCAAGAACAGGGAGTATGGGGATATGGTTGATTGAGCTGCACTTATGGAAAGAGATATAAAGGACAGCCAGCGATGACAGAGCTTCGCGAGATGAGGTCCGATCTGGACGGGTGCTAGTAGTAACAGATTACAAAGAGTGGCACTATACCATCGCCCAGATCAGGCGGGTGGACAGAGACTTCAGACAGCTCGAGGAGCTGGCGGCGTACCAAAGAAGACAGGCACAAACCCACACCACTGTTTTGCATGTGGAAAGTTTGGGCACTTCAAAAATCAATGCTCATCATTTCTACTGAGAACCAATCAAGCAACTGGGCAGGTGAATGCAAACAAGCCACCACTATCGAAGCCATTACATCAGAGGCCATTAGGAGATACAGCCCCCAGCGGCGCTCATCAAGGAAGGGTGTTTGCTTTGACTGAATTGGAGGAAGATGCCTCCAATGTCGTGGTGGAAGGTATTGTTCTTCTCTATAACTCTTGGGTCTGAATCTTATTTGATCTCGGTGCTACACACTCATTCATACGTACTGCATATGCTTTTAATTTGGGATTGGGATTTGAGAAGCTGGAATATGCCCTTAGTATTGACATGCCCACGGGAGAACAGTTGGATACAAAAAGGGTGTGTAGAGGATGTGTGCTTCGCATTGAGGAGCAAGAGTTGGTTGTCGATTTGGTTGCGTTAGATATGAAGGGGTACGATGTTATATTAGGGATGAACTTGTTGTCAACTTTTCACGCGGTGATGGATTATGTTCACAATCGAATTTCCTTTCAACTACCAGGAGTAGTTTTTACTTTCAAGAATGATCATAATTCTTCTCATCCATTTCCCACGACGGAAAATAGATTCTTGAAAGCTAAGGCAGAGAGCAATTTGAGTTTCTTGGCCAGCTTAATGGGAGATGATCAGGACAAATCCCAACCAAATTTAATGTTGGTGGTGTCAGACTTTCTGGATGTTTTTCCTGATGAATTACCTGGGTTACCCCCACAATGAGA